CACCTATCTCTTTTGTGGCCCCCTGATCACCCGTCTGACACCATTTCGAGGTGAGCTTTGAGGGCCTCACTGACTCCACTGAGCAGTATGGCTCCCATTCCCTCAGCAGGATGTGCTTCATAACGCTCTGCTCTTGACCTCTACTGACGGTACAGAGTGAGTCGAAGGTCTTTCCTTACCACCTACTACGGACGAGGATGATGATGACTATGTTGCGGTGAAGGGGGATGACGATGAGGTGATGATGATGATGATGATGATGATGATGATGATGATGATGATGATGATGATGATCGTGGTGGGCTATGGATGATGAGGAGCTAGAGCCCTCCATGTCGGAGACCCAAGCAAAGCGTGTCCTCCTCTGGTCCTTCTGTTCCGCTGATGGACTTTTTCACCGATCAATTCCCTCAGATAGGGCTCCAGTTGCAGCAGCTGGATCTCCAGAACCAGCAACTTATGGATCACCAATGCAAGTTCTAGCAACAGTACACAGCCCACCAGACTGAGCACACTTCCCGCATGGCCACCTATAATGAGCGTCTCGACCGCTTCTAGACTCAGCAATGTGTCACCCTAGCTCATATCGAGCATGAGCAGGTCCGTGGCCGACAGATGATGGAGTACAAGGAGCATCTGCTCTAGTCTTTCCACCTAGAGCACCACTGAATGACTCTGTGGGAGCATTCACCTGCACCACCTCCTCCTTCACTGGAGGCCTTTGATGAATTCATGAACAACATCAACTTCGATCACCTCGAGTAGGCTTTACTCGCTGGCTCTATATATGTGTTTTTCTTGTGTTTGTTTTGTTTTTGGGAGGAGTGAAAACTGGATTAATTGTGTTTGATTTGTTTTTTTGGATATTGTGCCATTGGACTGACAACTCTAACTAACGGCTGTGTGTTTGAGTGGTTTTTTTTTGCTAAAGCCTGTATTAGTGCACCGACTGGTCCCATCTCCAGTCACCCCACCCGGACTGGTCCGCTCTCCAGTCTTGATGCAGTCTGTTCTTCCCGGTAACATCGTTCCCATTATCCCTGCATCTTCTCCAATGAGGGCAATGTCGATCTTAAGTGTGTGTGTGTGGGGGGGGGGGGGGGGTTGTTATATTTGACTGTATGGTTGTATGCTTGGAACCTACTCCACTGTCCAAATCTCGAGATTTGAGGGCTCCAACTACTGATGTTTGCATGATCATATTGGCACTGTGGTTTATGTCGTGAATCGAATGACTGTTAGCATTGATGCATGATAATTTGTTTGTGATTAAGACAACCTATAATAATGACTGAGACGTGTAGTAGAGTTGTGTAGGTTTTCAGTGTTTCAACTGTTCTCTTACCAATTGTGACTTGGATTGATCACTCGAATTTTACAGTTATTTATGCATCGAGTCCAGGGAATCATAATGAAAGATAGAGCATATAGGTAGCCATGTGAGATTTGAGCCTGCTCGTTTCTTTCTTGTGTGATAGATCCCTCTTCCATGATGTGTAGCATTCATGTTGACACTAATTAGGATGATGGAGGCATAGGATTAGCCCACGAGCAAATTGATTGTGCTGGTGTTTCATACCCCCTAGTCAGCCCCTTCGAGCCGTGTAGCTTTCTTTCTTCGTGTCTTCAATGAAAAATTACCCTTTTGCATCTCGTAGAGGTTCCACATTGGTTTTTGCATACTTTCTGTTGTTCTGCTAAATGTTATGTGAGTGTTGGAGGCCGTTCTTAAGAAGTTGGGCAGGTGTGTGAAAAAGATAATCAAGGTGGCACGTTGAAGCTCTCTAAGTGAGAAAACGAAAAAGATATGAAAATAAAAAAAACGATAATAAGCAAAAGAGAGCTGCCACCAGAAATTTTAATAGTGCCATCCAAATATTTCTTAGTAGTCTGGCTTGGAAATACTGATATTGTTACCTCCATTTCTGCGCTCTAAAGACTTGGTTAATGCAGAATAGTAGAGAAAGAAAGTACTTGGTTTGGTTGAATGTCAATTTGCCGGGTTTAGAACTGTGGAACATTGTGTTATGAATTCTTCCACCACCTAAAAAGCTTTTTCTCCATGTCCAAGACCCCTAGCTAGTCATCTGAACCTGTGTCTAAGACCTCCTAACTAGTTAGTGGTGATATCCGACCTGTGAACTGTAGCATTTAGAGGTTGCCGTCATGGTGAAGAGACCTTTGGGATTGAGAGTATGAGTATGCACACATCTTGCATCAAATTTCGTCCTGACCCCACTGGTCGAGAGTGAGTGATTCAATTTTTCATATTATGTCCCCGGTTTGGACCTAGATTTCTCAGTCTTGATTATGATGTCTTGAATTTGATGCATGATGTGACTGTTTTGGAATATTGGTTGATTCGAGTCTATGTTGGTTGGTGAACATAAGGGAGACTCTTCCTTTACTCAATTTTGCTGCACTCGAATTTCATATGTGGTGGTTGTCCAGGTTGTTGTTGTTGTTGTTGCTCATGTGTTGATGCCTAGTAACAAGTATGTTCACGTGTTTTGTGACGATATGATATGCCCCAAAGTTTGCATGATTAAAACGTTTTGAGCTTATCTTGTGTCTAACTCAGTTTGCTTGGGGACAAATAACGGTTTTGTGTAGGGGAATTTGATAAACCGCTATTTGCACATGTTTTGCCCACTATTATTGAACCATTTGTGATTCGATTCTCGTGTTTTAAACCGGTTTCCTGCTAGGTTGTGCTTTTATGTCATATTTCAGGACTTGGAGCGGAAAGGGAGGCTTGGAAGCAAGTTTTGGGTCGAAAACGGAGAGGTGGCGGCAAGGAAGAGTTGGAAGGCAAAATACCTGGCCAGCTCACTCAAATACCCGACCAGGTATATATGGCTAGAAGATAGGGTATTCGACCCAAGAGGACCAGTAGACCCCCCGGTCAGGAACCCTGAATACCCGACTGAGTATTTTCACTCGAGGTCAGGTATTTCCCCATGACTGATGTGCGCCGCAGATACCCGGCCGGTTCCATTAATACACGAACGGGTATTTGGACCAGGTTTCAGTTACTTGGGTTGTTACGAACAAATTGCGGGTTTTGGTCAACGATCCAAGTTTTAGAGTTGAAAACAGAGTTTTCGTCTATGATCCAAGTTGTGATCCAGGTTGCCGTCAGTTCCTCCCAAATCACCAGAGGCTATCGATGACATCGTTGGTGATATGAACATTTCGAATCATTGCACTCGACGAATGAATTGTAACACCAAGAGAAGAAAAAAACAACGAAAATTAGGTTCAATATCTTATGGATTGAGAAGTAGACGAAACTGGGGATCGCACGTCCCTATAACCAGAGATGGTGATGTTGTTGACGACTGTAGAGGCGAAGGAGGGATCGTCGAAGCTGGTGACAAAATTGAATTAGACATGAAGAATTGAGTCATGATTGTTAGGGTTAGAGATTTATTTTCACGATAACAGAATGAACGATATGACTTTTAAATTTTCAGTGATTTTCCAACCGCCGAGATCGGAGAAGGTCCACCAAATATGTGTTCTCTCTTTTTGATACAAATCAAATATCAATAAAATGGTTTGGACCCATGCAGCGATAACAAGAATCGCTGGAGGAATCGCTACCTTAAGTAAAAGTAGCAAAACCCGGCAGCGGTTAGGAAGTCAGCTAAAAACAAACCCCTGGGCTAGGCCCAATTCCTTGTGACGTGATTTTGTAGTGATGACATTTATCACATAGTTTTCACCCCTCTGGTGGGAGTGGGCCACTCGACAAGCTTAGTAGCTGACCATTTTGTTTCAGACTTGTAGGTGCATAAGTGATTGGATGTCCTCCGACTTCCTTCTGATGTAGAGAAAGATCATGTTAGGCTAAGTACAAATTATGCTTTTACCCGGTGTTATTAAAATCGAGCTGGCCGGTCTGACTGGTAAAACCGCAACCCGGCCGCCTAATCGGCTCGTAACAGTCTAAAAATCGTTACCGTTTTATGTAGCATCCGGTGAGCGGTCGAGGCAATTAACCGCTCAAACCGTTCGAGACGCTAGTTCGATTTTTCCATTCAACCTTAATTTATCATTTCAACATTTCGGATGAAAGAGACGAGCTCTGATTAAGAAGTGTCCCCTATTTATATTGATGACGTTTATTAGGTATCGGTTCTCTAATGGTTTTTATACGGTCTAATGTCTATTGGACCACTACAGTGCGAACATCCACGTTAACAGGTCATGCTCCGGTTCGGTTCTGACATCATTGATTTTACCTTTGTTGCTTTCAACAATAATATACGTGTTGTAAAAATTAAATGATTGGGTTGGATAATATGAGTGTAGTTTGTTAAATGATAAATTATGACGAAGTTTGAGGTGCGGTTTGCCAAAACTATTCTGAATTTCATTTGAGTTCTTATTCCCTTCAAATAATTGAAAAGATTTATTTATGTTATTGTTTGATCACTTGAAATGCTAGTAGGATGATTGAATTTGAACCATAACACCGATAGACTGAATTTGCACGGATGCATCATAGGTTTAATGATGGAGATTTTGAGAATTACTATCATTGTGTTAAAAATGATAAGCTATTTTATGGATAAAAAGGAACTGATGAATTAGCTGAATTAATGGCAGAGACAAAATTGATTTTATCATATTCATTGGCCTATGTTATCCTCAAAGTTGTATTGATTTACCGATTTCAACTCCAAGTGTTGAGAGCGCTTTTTCAACTATGGGTTGCATCAAGAACAAGTTTCGGAACCAAGTAGACGATCAGTTCCTAAATTATTGTCTAGTAACATATATCAAAAGAAATTTGTTGATCACCATAGACAATGAATAACACGTTGTTGACTTTTCTTGTAATTTGTATTAGTCAGATAGTTTCTTGTGTAATATTTTTTTATTTAATTTTTGAAAGTAAGACCCCTATATAAAATTTTGGGTCGGCCGCGAAATGGCCCTAGGGAATTCTGAGATAATATGAACGTCGAATCATCAACCAACCAATATTTTGATTAAGAATCCCAAACAGGCCCGAAGGCAGGGATCCCAACACCTTTGCAAGCATTAACAACGTCCCTACTCCCCTCTGGATTGCTGGTAACAATCACTACCTCAACCCCCCACTTCTTGGCTGCCTCCACGCTCATCTTGGACACATTTGGGCGTCCCATCGAAGCAGTGTCATGTATAATCATCTTCTCCTTGGGATACCGAGTCGCCATGTCCTTAATCTCTTGCCCAAAGTTGTGTTCAATTCCCTTGGCCACCCATAGCACACGAACATCCGCCCTGCATGGTTGCAACAAGAAGGACAAAAACACACAGATCCCCGACCCAGTCGCCACCAAAAGAACGCGATCGTACATGTTCACCAAATACGGCAGCCCAGCGAAGTGCACCCCTCGAACCCACAAGTGGCTCGGCGGCTTCGAGACCAGCGACTTGGTGAAGTCACCCACCGCGCCACAGAGCATCATGTGCTCGGTCTTTCCATCTGAAATGATCCCAAATGCATGCCACTCGGACAACGGGGACGGGCTGATTCGACCCAGAATCCCCGGTTTAACCCCTCCGGCGAATCTGACTATAGAGGCGTGGTCCGACGGAGACGACAAATTGACCGCCACTTTTCGCACCGTTAGCCAGGGGAGTATAATTAGCACGGTGATGGCGACTGTGAACCAAAATTCTTGTGATTTGACCAGCTTCAATGCTATGCCGTCTTGGAAATTATACGACGCCGTTTTCGAATCGTGCGAGGTTGTTAGAATCACGAAAGCCCAAAGAAGCCCCAGGGCGGCCCACCCAGCAAATCTGTGGATCCTCTCGAAGACGTTGTGATATAAATGTCTAAGGACAGGGAACGCAGCGAGGCAAGAGAAAGAGATGAACGAAAGGATCGCAGAGGCCACGGCCACGATCTCGAAGGATGTATGCGGCCAGTCGTTAAGAGTGAGGACCAAACTGTAAATTAGCCACGCAACGGAAGATACCCCGCACCCGCTGTGGATCCCACCAAGGCTTTGCAGGAGTGACGTGGCGGCCGTCTTGATACGGATCGGGACCCACGAGCGGCCCAGTATCTTCACCGCGGCCCAAAAAACGGCCCGCAGAAGGGCCTCGCTCCGACAGAGCGTGAGAAAGAAAATGTTCGCGATCGAAAACAGAGCTGCTCTGTTCCTCGCGCAAGGGAAATGACCCGTCGCAGCCAGGACCAATCCGACGACGTTTAGCGCAAAGCAAAACATGAATAGCATCTTGTAAACCGTGAACAGCCCTTGGTCCAGCAGTATGACCGAAAGCCGCGACGGTTTCTTGCTTTTCCTCGGCAGCTTTCGATCAGTGACGACGACATCGACGAGCTCTTCATCCACGACGTAATAGCTTGGGTCGTGGATATCGAGGTCGAGGTCGCAGAAGTGGCTGCTGCTGCTGGCCTTGCTGAAGGAGCGTTGGAGCATATTCCAATACGAAATGGACAAGGGCCTGAAATTCGGCTCATCTTCTTTTGCGGATTTGGGGATGGCAAAAGGATCGCCGTGAGGCTTGATCTCGAAGGAGATTCCTCTGCAGCTAGAAAACCTGATGGGTGGGCTCTCCATGACTACAAAGACAAATTAAAGATGGCTAAGATTAGATTAATAGGGGATTAGCTGAAAGAGGAGACTGACTCATTATTAGTTGATAAAAAGGTTGATATATAAAGGATCAGTAGTGGTGATGTGTGGTTCTAGGCAGATTTTAATTGATTAAGAGAAGAACTGTAATAGCTCTGGAACTCACCGTTCTCCATTGTTAGTTTTTTTTGGCGGACAGCCGGACACTATAGAAAGATTCTAATTCAAAAGAGAAGCCGCATTTGGGTTTCCTCTTCCCGTTGGGTTTGTGTTTGGGTTTCCTCTTCCCGTTGGGTTTGTGTTTTCTCTTTTTCCATCCTTTTGCATGGCTTGTCTTTTATTGTAGAATCATTTCTCTGTACCACTTTATTATGGATGATAAAAAATTTCATCACAACATAAAAAACTGAGAAGCTCTCTTGAGTCTTGACCACTATTGTTGTGTTGAAGGTGTCTGAATGATAATTAATTATTATTTTATTGAATGAAATACTTATCCAAACTTATAATAGTTGATTTGGAAGTTACGATTATTAGATAGAAAAATACATATATAATATTTTACATATGTTATCAAAATCAATGCATGTAAAATACAATGTTTGGTAGCGGTGGATGCGGGGCATAGTACAACACTGAATCGCATTTGAATAGCACTGAGTCGAATACCTAAACTTAAAATAAGTTATATACTAGCTTTGGACTTAGTGACGGACAGGGTTGTGGCCCGGGGTCGCCAGCCTTTAGATCTACCACTAGCTTTTGGTCTGTGTAATTATGTATGTCATATAAGTTAAAAATCGAGATAAAACAATCTAATACAATTGCAGTTTACAAACGAACGATACATGCACAATGCACATGTTTGATACAGTTGGAGAATGAAGAGATGTGATGCATAGAGTATTTTTATGAGGTCAAGATTTATTTTCCATCAGTGAAAGTTGAAATTATATTAAAAAGGAAGTGTACCCATTTACAAGAGTAAAAGTGAGATTTACATTAATGCGGTTAAGATGAGGATCTAAATCGGCCACTGATAAAGCAAATGAAGAAGTATAGAAGAACTTCAAAGGATTAGAAGATGTGTAATTTTTAAATAATATTAAATTGCATGTACTGTACTCTTGTTGGGTTGGGTATGTCGTTAGAACAAGAAAACAAAGGCAGGTGACCGTTATACTGCGGCAATACGCTTTCTGTTCCTTCCAGGGAATTGTACTTTTGGGTAGTTATCATAAACGGTCACAAACCTTTGTATTTAATACAAAACAGTCATAAATCTTTAATTTGTAACGATATGGTCATAAAAGTTTGAACTTGTACAAAATGGTCACTTCTGTTACTCTCCATCCAAATTTCCGTTAAATTTATCTAGTAAGCATTCCACCTCATCAAAACAAATAATAAACAACTCCAATTTAATATCTAACACCAACAATTATTCAGACTGGTCAAAAATTGCTAAAAGGTCGGTCAAACCCAATTCCACCACTCCCGCAACACGAACATCTTCTTCAAACCCCCCCCTCGCCGCCGACATTCTTCCCGTCGCCTCATGACACAACACCTCTCTTACCCTCATTCTTCTTCATCGCCCATTCCCGTCAACATGGGAAGGCTAAATTGAGCTAGCAAGCCCAAAGCTTTCTTCCAACCCGCCTCTCCCAGTAAACGAACCCTAATTTCTGTTTCGCATGAATCCCTCTACAACTCCACCTTACTTATTGATAATAATCCCGACCAATTCAATCCCAGGTCAGGAAGAGGAAGGGAAAACAATGGGGAAACGAGACTCGACTAAATGCATCTCCTCTCCGTCTCATCTCCTCTGCTACCTTTGGTGGGCATCAACGCGGCGGCGAATGTCGGTCGTTATTTGCCTCGTTGTACGTCTTTTCTCGGTGGGGATGCTGGACAGAGGAGTTTTGATGGCGACCTGCGGCGATGGACGATCATGGGCCGAGGAAAGGGAACGGCGGGAGCGGTGACAAGTTGAAGCAGACAGTGCTAGGGGACGCCGCCAAAACCAACTCCCGCCGGGGAATCGCCGCAGCGTCGTGACCGGCGAAGATGGGGAGGATGAGGTGGAAAGGAAGAAGGAGACGTGAGGCTGTGGCGGGGTGGAACAGTCGAGGTCTTATCGTTTGGGTGGGTTGGGTTAGGGTAAATTTTTTTAATTAACATTTTGAATTTGTTTATTATTAATTTTGATGATGTGGAATGCTGATTAGGCAAGGGAGACGGAAATTTGGACGGAGAGTGACGGAATTACCATTTTGATATTTGCTCAAATGTTTGTTACCAATTTTTTACAAATTAAAGATTTGTGACCGTTTTGTACTAAGTGTAAAGGTTTGTGATCTTTTGTGTTAATTACCCTATACTTTTGAGTCATGTGGTCGTCTTTTTGGAATAAAGAAGTTAAGAGTTGCTGACATGCAGGAATGTCTAACTTGGGAAAAATCATCAAGCATTAACATTTTGGTATTAATAGAGTTTAAATAAGGAAGTTGATTACGTTTTAAGAAATAATTGCGTCTTTAACCTTTTAGGAATAAAAAAAAGTAGTTAGAGTTCTTGACAGGCAGGAATGTCTACCTTGGGAAAAATCATCAAAGTTTTAACTTTTTGGGATAAATAGCGTGTAAATTGAGTAAGTTGATTACGTTTTAAGAAAGAATTGTTAAGTTTTCAGTATAATGTAACTTGTGCTACATACAATATGCCCATTTTTTAAAGGACAAGGGAAGGGAACAAACCGAGATGAAGCTGCGATGTTCCTCACTCTTGCCCAAATTCGCCGTCGAAATTTCCGATTCATCCTCGCCGAGGGTATCTTCCGAGCAGAGCCGACTTTCAACTCCGAAGTTAAATAAGATATTAATAAAAAAATTATTATACAATAATTTATAAATAATATATATCTAATATTATTTACAATAAAAACAAATCAAAATAAAGGAACCCAAATATAACTAAATGGATACATAATCAATTAAATGGAAATACGTGACGGAATAAAAAAATCAAAACAAAATTTTTCTCTCATGTAGCTCACTTGATAACCTGATGTTGAGTTAGAAGGGACACGCGGCGGTTAACATTCGAACATTTAGTATTTTGATTAAAAAGAGAGTTTCAAAATTATTGATAGTAACAGACAAATGACTATTATTTTTATATTTTACAAAATATTTGACTAATTATTTGTATTTTGAAAGAAAAGTTTTGCAAGATTTGATTAATATATTGTATTTACTCTAGTAATAATTTGCTATATACATATAACATATACTCGAAACTAAGGTAGCTCATATAATTTGGACGTCCTCTGCGGTAGGGCCTCCCCGCACGCCCCAAAAGCCGGCCCCTCATCCGAGCTGAAGATCTCCTGCTCCCTTCTGTTTTATCAGCTTTGCTCTCCTAAATTTTGAATGAGGTTAAATACAAGGGTGGAGATTAAAAAAAAGACTTTAATTTTCCTAATTTTTCAATCGATTTTTATCTTTCTAGCTTTAACTGGAATTTTGGAAAATATTGCACAAAAATCATGGGTTATTGTTATCTAACAAAACTATATCCATTTTGTTAATTTTTTAGAAAACTTTTGGGCTACCCGTTACTGGTATGCACCATCCTTTACCACCTTCATCTTCAAATTAAATTTTCATAAATTTGGCATACATATGGATATATTGTGATATACAAAAACTTATATATTTATGGAAAACATTTGACCAAATATACCACTTGTTATCACTCTTTATTAAAAGGTTAATACCTAGTTTGGCCCGAAGTTTAGCGTAAGTGACAGTTATGGTTCCATTTTTTAAATAAGACATTTATGGTCTACTTTTGAAATTATTGGACAGATTTGGCCCGACGTTTGGGTTGACCGTTAAACCTGACGGTCAAACATTTTAATCTTTAATGACTCAATAAAAATTGCTGATGCGGCTGGGCCACGTCATTAAATAATGATTTATTTACTTTTCTGAAAAAAATTGAAAACAAAATGAAACAAAGCAACAAATTCAAAAAAATTCAAAACCACAAAGTACTTTCGGTCAAAATCCCTAAACTTTTTCTCTCTTGACTCTCATAAGCAACTATCACCCTCGCCGGTAAAATCCCTAATCTTCTTTCCGATAGTATACTCACGGGCGATTGACGATTGAAGATGACAGATGCAGGGGCCACCGATGGGAAGATGAATATTAACGATGGCGATTGATGATTGAAGATGACTATTGACGATGATGATGGAGCTCGGTGGTCTTTCTTCTTGCTCTGGATCCGACAAAGGAAGGAATCGAGATTATGGAGGGTTCTGGGTTAGAAATACAAAAACCAGAAGAACAACGATGCATACTCTCTTGCTCTGGGTCCGGCAGAGAAAGGAATCGGGATTATGGAGGGTTCTGCGATTGACGAAACCAGAAGCCTACTCTCTTGCATTTCTTTCCTTGCTCTGGCGGTGATCTGCTGGGAAGGCAAGATCCGATGAACCCAGATCCTTCGGAAAGAAAGGAAGAACCCAAGCGCCAACGTCTAGAAATGCCAGTCGCCCAACGATCTCTGTAGAAGAACCGAGAAGAAGGCTCTTCGATTTGTTTCTTGGTTTGGAGACATCTTGTGGCCTTCGTAGTGGGGTAGGTAGGGGTGGGAAGGGCTAGATTGGTTGTGGCGAGGAGGTTTTCGGCGTTGTGGCGGTGACAAATGTATTGCGCAGGGTGGGGGAGGAAAGCCTTCCAAACAACGTTGGAGCTTTGACGGAATCAGTTTAGAAGAAGAGGGAGGTAGGGTTTTTTTAGGATTTAATTTATTTAATTTTTGTTTCATTTTTCATTTTTAATTAATAAGTGACATGGATGCCACCTCAGCACTAAATGATGAGTCATTGACGGAATAAATGTTTGACTGTTAATATTAACAGTCAACACAAGTTTCAAACTAAATTTGTCCAATAATTTCAAAAGTAGGCCATAAATGTCTTATTTGAAAAATGAAGCCAGAACTGTCACTTACGCTAAACTTCGGGCCAAACTAGTGTATTATATTAAAGTGAATATCATTTTTAAAAGCATGTTTAATATGATTTTACTGTGTTAGAAAGTTTGGATTTGAAATTAATATGAAAAGAAATATCCCTTTAAACTATAATGACTTTTTG